TACTATAATTATCTACCTTAGAAGCCTGTTACATTCAAATATATTATGATTGTAAGCATTTATTTTGAACTATATAAACCCACAAGGAATTACCTTTTGTGCAGGAACATAACATGCGATACAGGTGCTTGCCTTAACAGTATACGAAATCGTCTAATATTAAATCCTAGAAATTCACACGAATGATGTCGACATTACATCACATATAGAAATATGACATCACATATCATTTACGTGCGGTTGTTTGACCGAATTGTCCTAATGTCTCTCATTATACCACTGGGTGAAGTGTCGACTTCGTTCCCAGGGTGGCCTGTCTGATCGCGTGGGTTTTCTCAGGGTTCTCTGGTTTCCATTCACTGCTAAAGACCTCCGCTAAAGTTCCAAAATGATATGATCTCTACAAGACTTAGGATGGCTGCCGCTCTGAAAAACTTATCGATCAACTTTTAAAACTATAGAAATTTGTAAGAGTAAAGCTTTGGTTTTGAATTGACACAGACGCCAGATCCCTTTTTTAAAAGTCCTGAAAAGTTTTCTAAATTTCCAAAATAACTGTTTAGTAAAACAACTTATGTTAAAACGACAAAAGAGCTGACATTTCTCGAAAAGAGAAAATTCTGAAAATTTCAGTCAAATTACTCCCCCCTGGGCGTAGATATTAGAGATTCAATGATAGGCTAGCCTCGATCGTTATTACTACCATTGTTACGATAATAAACAGAGTCTCGATTATCCATTTTTACGGTTATTTCATCCACCACAAAACGAATTCAAATCCAATGGTCTTGGAATGTTAATGTCAAATTAATAATTTAGATAGCATGTCAGACTTAAAGAAAGATCTACAATAGGCAGATTTAGCTCTTGCATAATGCTTGTTTAAGTTTTGAAATGTGAACTAGATCTTTTGGTGTAGGTGAGATACAGAAACTGCTGTCTGTTTTGAAACATGCGTCTGCGCTTTTGAGATCTTCGCTAATCTTGAAAACTAGATCAGAACGGCACTGCTACTTGAAAAGTAACTGAGAAAAAAAAACCCTGAAATAACGCCAGTAATAGTCACAACAACAGACTGATTACACAGAAAAATAATGTTGTAAACAATTGTTAGAATAATGTATACGATACAGAATGGGCCTTTTACTGTCCGACATTTTAGACTATGGAGAGTGTACTTGCCAGACAGGACATACCCTATACCTATATAATATAGATAATATTATAATAAAACTCTATTGTGAGTACTGATATGAAATCTCTATTAAATAGATGACGGGGTATGATACTCTCGCTCTTTGTAATTATTTCTGTTCAGACAAACTTGAACACATCATTTCAATCAATGTTTATTTTTCTTGATTAAACAATTTCATATGTTGTCAGTGAGTTTACGCTAACTTTATAATATGATGTTAAAACGACTTTCTTGTCCACCTTGCCCAAGTAGTCTGTAGAAATCTACATCAAAGCATTTCTGTATGATTAGGTGCTCATATCAGTACCTTAATAAAATTCTCAGGACTCGACGAAAGAATTGAAAGAGCAAATGGGTTAACAGTAATAATATTGATTAAAATATACAGTTGAAGAATCCGGGATATAAGCGTATGAACGGGCTATATGAAGTTATCAGGGGTGGGGGTGGATGGCCGAATGGTTAACGCGTGTGCGTTGCATCATAAGGCCTGTCATTGAGTCAAGTGGCGTGGTTTCTATTTCCACTTGTACGTGACAAGTAGTAGGGTTGCCTGTCCAAACTCGTGGGTTTTCTCCGGGTCCTCCGATTCTAAAGAACCCTATATGGGCAAGCGAATTATTGAAATAAGAAAATGAACCATGTGTTAGTCATGAAATGACCTAGTTTGTGTGGAGTGGACGTGAAACCCCTTTCTTTATTTATTATATATATAACGTTATCTTGTAACCAACAAATAAAATTCGTCTATTTTCATTCTAAGAAATTTCACACGGATGCTGTACAATCCTAAAATATTATCTGGAGTTATTGGACTTAAGTTCTGAGGGGGATAGATATGTTGTGGGAATGTATTGTAGCTAACAGACTGCCAGTTTATTTGTCTGGGATTTGTGCATTCTGGTTTGGTTTACAGGGGTTAATTTTAAGGAGCGGCGGGGGGGGGGGCATCTGTCTCCGTTGTATTTTTTACAGCAAGGCCATGGTGGCCACATTTACCTCTAGATGCATTTAATGATCATTTATTACCTACGCATGCACAAACTTATGTGTGTTACCTTTTGGACTTATATCACCTTTGACCGAGGGTCAGATTTCAGTAAGGATATGCTATATTAAGCTGGGATTTTACTCGTAATCTATATAAATAAGATATACCGAGTTACCATTTGTTACCACTAGACCTAGATTTAAACAAGACGATAATATAAAATACATATGTAATGGTTCAAGTATGACAGCTCTTATAGCTTACATTACCAAATTTTACCACACTTTAACAACCAGCGAGACAATGCCCTATGTCGTAACCGCTTGCTATTCTATTTCACGAACAATTACCTTTAATCCTTTGTTTCGCTAGCACATTAGGCTTACGTCCCCACTACAGACCAAGTCAACCCTAAACATATTAAAAATTTCCGCTTATTTACACGAGCTGTGTTAATCAGGTTGTGCGGACCACAGTTGAATGAGCATGTGTCCCTCTCATGTCGATATATCCATGAACCTTGTATCTTAATAAAGTTGCTTGCCTAGCAAAATTCTTGTGGGTTTACATGTATCTGAAAATAGACATTATGAAATGAGACATTAACCTTTTCTATAACGTTTGAGCAGACACAAGAATAACACATTTTTTAAAGTTTCTTGAAATCAAACGCAATTGTGAATCGCTAACTATGGGTCTGGGTTTTTGTCTGAAGTTAATGAAAATATAGTCTTCTACAGTCTAACTAAAATTATACAGTTCGATACATTTTGTCTAACCCTGCATCTAGTTTCGAAGGCATATCTTTGTCGGATATCTATAGTAAAGCCCTAAATATGATACGTCGACTCTTGACTCTTGGTACAAAAATTTTCCAAGATCATTTTGATATGCTCGTATAACAGAAACGAAACGAAATGGGTAAATATTGCCCTGTCAACGGTGCTACGACCTTTTAAATTTCCGATCGTACCATTCGGCCATCTACCCCACCCCTGATAACGTCATATAGCCCGTTCATACGCTTATATTTAAACTAGTTCAAAATCAATCGCCGGGGATTTTAAGACGGGGTAGTGCTGGGTGGGTTTTATTGCTATGACCACCGTCCCGCATCAAAACCGGGATCGAACCCAGGACTCATTAGTGAGTCAGCGTCTAACTTCCTGAGCCACAAAGATATAAAACTGATTTTGAGTGTATTTTTAATAGCTATTTATAAGAAGTGCAGGGGGACTGCACCACACATAATTTGCACAAAAAAATATACGGACAAGCCATAACTCGCAGAAATCACAAACAAACATGAACTAGTATATTAAAGCAGAAAAACTAAAACGTAGCGTGGTAGGCACACGTAGTATGTTTTGTCAAAGTGACTTCTGACTACCTGAGATATACGCCAAAATGACGATAGAGACCATATATTTCTCAAAAGTTTTCAAGGCCGGGGGCGAGACCCCCCTGGCCCCCAAGATACATTGTTTCAGGAACCTGACAAACCCCCTGCTGGAAAAATTCAAGGATCCACACCGGATGGGTCATAACGGCCATGGAGATCGAATATTTGATTACTTTTTCTAGAAATTGTAATTTTGTATTGTAACGTCCTTCATCATCGTTATTATGACCAATCTCCTGCACAGTTCCCCCCTCTCTCTCTCTCTCTCTCTCTCTTTGCCCCATAGATTCTTCCATTCCGAATTAACCATGTATTAACCCAGCAACAAATTAACCGCCATAAGTGATTGCGTGTTGTTCTTTTATAAATATGATGAAACCCAGTAAAGTATGATTGATCACGTCTTATTTTATAAGTCAATATAGAAATGTCAAATTTTACAGATTACAATTCCCTTGAAACTGTCATACTGAATGTAAGTGAACGCCACCTGCTGTTTTTGAAAAACACTGTCAGTGCTACATAATATATGACATTGAATAATATGGCATACAATCTGACATTTGGCGAATATTTTAATGTGAAAATGTGGATTTAGACGATTTAATCCATCAACTTCAGTTTTCTAATCTTATTCATATTTTGTTAATTATTTCAAGACCTATTTCTGTTAATCTCCACACCTAAAATTGGACAGTTCTGAAACAGTACAAGATAAAATGATTGGTGTCTTTAAAAGATATACTCTCGATAATATAATATGCATATATTGCACTGAAATAATTATCCATGGTCCTTTGTATATTTTAATTAAACATATGCATTGAGAAATATTTAACTCTACGTCAGCAAATATGTCTCTCTCTCTCTGTAAGTCCCATGGGTAATAACCTTGGCATAAGACACCTGAATAACATTGCCCCTTGGTGTGAATATTTGTAAAACCCAGTGAACTAATCAAGTTTTATTTAGGTTACGAAGATTAATTTCATGGTGGTTTGTGTCACAGCTAATAAATCTAGCTTTTTATCTTATAATCTAGTTGACGTTTTGTCTTCTAATATTAAGTTTTGTTTCCTTCGGACGTCAACGTTTATTGCAATCTACAAACTGCTGATTTAGTAGTTTATTAAAAATGTGTTTTTGACCAGGCCTATGTATCATCTTGCGGTCTCCTCTATTACTTTACTTACCGTCCTTAATACTATAAGTGGTTGTTATGCTTACGATGTTTATTCAATTTAATTTAAAACAAACGATAAAGGGTCGTGATTTATCTATTTAATGATGATAGTGTCCAATAGTCCTGAACAGAAGAGATCCTAAATAAACAAACATCAATTGGAAAACATATTAATGATATGCTGACAGTAACGTTATACTCTATGACAGTGCCATTTTATTTTCAGATTAAGGTCATGAAATTATGTTTTCAAAACCTCTGTCTTCTACATACTAGTTGGTGGACAATAAATGGTCTCCTCATTTTGGTAAGACTGGAAGCATGTTGTTTGGGCATCGTAAAAAAACAAATAAGGTCAGTAACTTTGACATACATATCTTGCAATAACAAACTATCAGGAGAACTTTTAATAAGTCAATTATAAGTTAAAATATTTATCCGTTACGATAAATCTCTAAGAAAATCAAATAGAAAATTAATAACAAATGTTCGCATTCAGTGCAACTTAGACTGCTCAGCTTGGTTTTCTAGTCTCAGCAAAAAGCTGCAAAATAAAATACAAATAATCTACAATAAAATTAATACCTTTCATACATGATATTATGGGACAAAATAACATAACTACAAATTTGTATAAGGATCATTAAAGTTAAAATTAAATCATGAGCACAAGAGGTTTTATGATGCTTGTCCTATAAATATGAAATCTAATTTCAATTTATTAAAAGATACTTTATATGTGTAAAATAAGATCAAGTGTCTACAATATAATAGGAATACACAGCTTTCAACTTCTGTATTATAGGTATTAAAGCTTGGAACGACCTTCCTAACAAATTAAGATTAGTGGACAAACGTTTGAGCTTTAAAAAGGATGGATGTTATTTATTGTTGTCTACAATGTCTTTCATACCAATTTATTATATCACATTATTTTCAGACCAGTTTTTGAGAACCTGCACTCCAGTGATGACATGGCCTACCACTAAAGGACTTCATTGGAAATACACCAGTATACATTGTGTAATAATTTTGGCTAGTTTTTAAGAAGTATATTCTTCATGGCATATCTTATTTCAATCAATTTGTACTTTTGTTATTATTTTTTTTTTCTTATTCATTATTTATGTGTTTGTCATGAATGTACCTGTTGCTTAGAATAAATAATAAATAAAATAGCCTACTTTTGGGCAGTGCAAAGTTTATGCATTTCTGAGGTCTGATATACAGAATATTGTTGTATCTACCTTAACCTGAGTTTGCTATTGTTTGTAACCGAAGCGGTCTATATTAAATGTCGGCTTTTTTTATAAATCTAGAAGGCTTTTCTGTGCAGTCTATATAACATGCAATGAAATAAATAATACGATACGTGTCGCTCGCGTTGCCATTAAACTGGGCTGGGTTTGGAATTATGTCAATTAAACATGCATTATGCAAGAGCAAAATCTGCTTATTACAAGTCTTTCTTTAGTCCTGAAATGTTATCTAAATTATCAATTAGACATTAATTAACTTATCCAGACCATAATAAACTCTCGATGTCAAGGCTAGCCTTCGATGTTGGCTGGATTAGATTCCTATATACCGCTAACGGCTATTGATAATTAAATCAGAAAAAGTGGATAATCGAGACTATGCTGTTTATATTAATGATTTTAGTAATGATGAATGAGACTATGCAAAAATTTCACCCGCTTCTTTCTCGGCTCATAGTGGATCAATTTGACTGAAATTTTCAGCAAATTACCTTTACACTATCTAGTTTCTAACTATTATAGCGAGAACTGCCATCTCTTTATCTTATCTCCCATAATGTATCTTTAAGTGAGTCTATTAGTGTATCACTAACTGCCTCTCCAAACAAAAAAATGACAAGGTCCTCAGAACAAAAAAAGTTGACCCACCTGACACGTGGAATCATTTGTTCTGGAAAACGTAAGCAATCCTGTCTCCTATACATGACACCATATGATATAATATTAAGGATATTCTAATTCTCGCTTTAACTAACATTAGTCCTTAAAGGGCAAAGTAACAAACATTAATCTAAAGAACATTCTTGCACGTAAAAAGATCGTAAACGTAGATGTTAGTTTAATCTTTTAATGGATGCCTTGCATTAAAAGTGAAAAAAATTATCAACAAGTAGTTAAAATATAATGGCAGATATTTTAATTACTTTTACTTAAATATGTTTAGCCGTGCTATTACAAAGATGAATGTCTTAATGAAAAATCGACACAACGATAGCCAACACATCCCAATCGGCACAGGGTTTATATAGATCTCCCCCCTCCCCATTTAAATGCTATCCATAATATTGCGCCAATGACGTCAACGTCATCAGCATTACCAGATCTTAAAAATGACGATGGGATTTTTTCTTTTCAAAGGTTGAAATTTGTTTATTCCATGTATTGAAATTTGTTTATTATAATTTGTTGAAATTAATTGTTATTGTGTTTCTACCCATTTCCAATTGAGTCTTTTTGGTTAACGCGTGGAGAAGCGCTGGTGATCACGTCACGTGATTGTCATGTCCTATGAACCATCAGCAGTACAGCAGATTGAATAAATACAGCCTTGGACATTTGATTCCCTTCCACTTGGCGCTTAGCCCATTGCCCCAAAAACTAAAATTGCGGACCAGGCCATGTGAGGACCATATTTTGGTATAGCCTACTGCTCTATATAATCTACTGAAGTAAGATACACGTGTAGCCTATAAACTTGTTCATCATATTACTTTATTTTTTATGTAAAAACAACCATTGTGTAGAAGGGACTTAGGTCAACGCTACACGAGAAACAGTGGTGTGTACCAACCCGCCAACGGCCTCGGGCATCTAATTCTGGCGGCATCAAATCAAAGAGTGAAATTAAAATTAAGTGTTTTGAATTTGAAATTATCCCCGTAGCTTTTATTATAAAGTTACACAAAAATGCTTTAAGGAACGATTTTATCCAAATTTCAATTATCTATAATTTTGTCAATTTTTACTGCATAACTTTCCTTCAGGATTTAACGATTAAATGGATAATCAGACTATGTTGTTTATTGTACTGACTTTAGTAATGATGATCGAGGCTAGGCGGAAATTTCAATCGCGGTTCATAGTGGATCAATTTGAATGAAATTTTCAGCAAATTGCCTTTACCTTATCTAGTTTTTAACTATTATAGTGAGAACTGCCAACTCTTTAGCGAAACTCCCATAATGTATCTTTAATAAGCGAGACCAGCGTAGGCCCTACACTTTGTGCACATACAAACAAGGAGTTGGCCCCAGGCACCACCAGACATCTGCACTCCACTATTAGGGTTTCACACTTTAGATGTGTAAAACACTGTCGTATATATATTTAAATTCTCGTTGAAACAGTGATGTGTCAAGTGCTTGGTAGGGTGTGATAACTCTTTCTTGAATGCCAGATCCTATTTATGTAGAACAATTACAAGATTAACAAAAGTTTCCAGTTGTGATGGTTGAGCAAATAAAAAAGTACCTAAGCTACCTACCAAACAAGAGAAATTTACTAGTATTGGATCACAGTTGTCTGAAGAAATGTAATAAAAAAGAGTCAATGATAATTTCCTGTAATTGACATAGTCTCCTCTTTGTTAATAATAGCAATGACCTTCACCTACTGAAAAATTATAGCCTATCTCCGACGGAAAATTCCATCTTAGTCAAGCAGTAAAGGGGAAGTATCCTTACAATTGTAGATATGGAAAAAAATTATAGTTTTTTTTCTAATACATTGCTTATTAACTAACACATGTTTCATCACGTTCTGATTAATAATTGTTTTCTGATTTTAGGATGGTCCCTACAACGTTTGGGGTGAAGAAGGCATTTATACTCAACCAAGTTCCTCATCCGGAATATTTGCACCTGCATCACAGTCGTTCCATGCCTGTTGTCAAGGTTTGACTAGATATTCGGTTTGGATATATTCTTGTGGATGTGTTTTAAGTGAAAGCTCATCGTTTACATAAATGTATAATTTTTTTCATGGTTTTTCCAACAAGAATTGTTTTTACCGTTGTTTCATGTTTATTCATTGTCTTTATGCAATCTCCTTCTGGAGACCTTTTCAGTATAGCAAACCCTTATATGTTTATTATTAGTATAAACCATTGATTTGGTATAGTATTTATTATGTCTTTATATATTCATACCATTTTCTTTATACTTACTATAATTAAGCCCATCTCAATAGTGTAGCCTATGTTATATTATGTGGGCCTTCCAATAGGGATATAGGGATTTCTCTATTAAATAAAGATTCTAATTTTGTGCGACGTCAGACTTCGTCATAATTTCAGTATTCTTATGACAAATAGAACAGGTGATGCAGACCCAGTCTCTTCCCAGTCTCTTCTCTCTCTCTCTCTCTCTCAATGACATATATGTTCAGTTATGCAGTAATTGATGATGTCAGTGGTGAATAAATGTGAACATTGCCATATTTGTCACAGTAGATCATCATTATTATGTGATTCAGGAGATATGTAAACTTTGTTTAGGATCAGTGTATAAGTAATTTGTTATCTTTATAAACGTTGGTCCATTTGACACTTAGTTTATCGGAAGCGTCTACATTCCTAAGTCTTGTGTCGTGCATTTAACATATATTTGATCACGTCGTATTGGGTTAAAGTCGTGTTCTGTTTTCGTGAAAAAAAGAATTAAAGAATGTTTCAGTTGTCTTTAAGGAAACGATAATATACTTTCACCAAGAAATAAATATTCGTATCATTATTTCTGTTTTTAAAAAACACAAATAATGCCTATTCATTCAGATATCTAAAACGGCAACCGATTAGAGCCACCCGCATATATTCCGCATGAACGCGCCATTTAATCATTGCATATCACGACACATTCTGTACGAGTCACCCATCGCTTTGTCTCGGTAATACATGGACTGGTGGATCTCAAATTATTTACACATTCTTATCTAACATGCTCACTCCATAACCAAACTAACAAGAACCCAAATGGTTAAATTACCCCAAACCCCAAAGGTGTTACATCATGTTACCTTAAATGGATTCCCCCACGAAAGATACACTTTCATTCATTTTATTTAGTTGACTGACTGGTTGATGTTTAACATCTGCTTCCACAGTAGTGATATCGCAGACAAGTTTACATAGCGTTTTTAACCATTTATACTAATGTTATTTTTAATGGATTTTCTTCTGGACATTCTATTATATACTCTATCTTATCAACATAGACATTCAATTATCTGTAATCAATAATTTCTAATTAGCATGGTTTTGCCGAAAGCTGAAACAAAACACCAACTTAATGGCATTTCGGTCATAAAAGATAATATGGCATTCTTTTGGTTATTATGGAAGCCACGTAAGAAATGTGGAAAATGGTGGTTAGAGAATTATTCGGTAGTTGATTTGAAACCCTCGTGAGGAAGGAGGCTTCTTTAAGAATGGTTATAGTATATTTTTTATTTCTATGTGAAGAGACTGATCAACATGACCCATGATATAATGGATTTAGTAACCCTTTTTAATGTAGTAATTCGACAAAGCTCTTGACGTTATCAAAAATAATAATATGAACATTTCTTTCATTGGCTATCTAATATCGAATGCTTGCCAAAAACGAAGGAAAGTTGACCTATATGCACTGTGTTCTGGACTTGAATATAGCAGTCAAATCAGGCAGTAAGTTATATTTTCTACCAAAGTTAGTTTGACATTGAAAGAAGATGATTTGATCGACATTGTCAAATGCAAAAACGTAACGTAAACACCTGCCCAAAACGCTTTATATCTTGAACTATTTGTATCTGAGGTAAGAAAAATGTGGTATTTGAGAGATACCACCATATGAAATAAATAAAGCCAGTGTAGTAGAAACTGGTTTCGTTTAGCAAAACAACAGCAAACACACTTCTTACGTGATAGATGTCAAGGCCGCGTTCTACCGGATGACTGTCGGGTGCAGATGGTGTGAAGTGGTTTATACAATTATTGGATACCGTTGTTCTCATCCATTTCATTCACGATACCACAGATAATAGTTTACAAAAGGCAGCTTAATGAAACGTTAACAAATGCATTACAATATGTCAACAAAAACTGCAACGTTTTAATCGTTTTTCTAATCTGGCATCGAGTGTGTAAAAATTGCCGCTTGATGCGCATAGAATGCAAAATAATTAGACAAAAAGTAAGTGAAGCACCGTCTACTATAAATTTAATTGCTTTAGGTGATATGTTGATAAATTTCCTGTTTGAAGAGTCTTTAAGGGGATGGTTGTAGATTTAATTGCATAAAATGTCAAATTAACTAGACTGAGTATCAGGTTTTTTTATTGATGACATCATACGTCTCCCGAATATTCTACCAAATGTAGCAAGTCTTTTCAATTACTCAGATTTCTGACATGGCCATATTTGTGTCGATGTGACCAATTATAAGAGACATCGTTCACAGTGGCTTGTCAGACTGGGTCGGAGTGACCGACCTTTGATATCTTCACCAGTGAATTGATGAAAAAGGAGAAAGTTCCAAAAACGCCTTCTGCTGAATTATAGTGACCATTAAATCATCCACATTCTATACTTACATTTTTAAAGAAGCCTAAACTGACAATTTTTTATTGACTTGACGTACAAACCCTATTAAGATATTTATTTGATTTAGATATTTACTGGATACACGTAGATATCATCAGAAGGTATATAGACCCTTATACAATAGATAACGACTGACATTTCCTATAGTTGTCTAGTCAGGCCGGGAGACAAACTGGGCGGAAAGGATCGCAATTTGTATAAGATCATGTCCGACATGATAATCTACGTGTATGACTTATATTACATTGGTTTATATTACATGTGGCAATTATATATTTTTTTATCTTAAAGGACAAGAACGAGTATTGATACATTGATCATTTAAACAGTGATCTAGGACATGCAAATGGTAAACTCTACAATAAATTTTTGTAAGATATCTTTGTGACCTCGGATCTGTAAGTGCAGTTAGATATCCCATAAACATCGTTGAATTATGGGATTTTGTGTTAAAGGCATAATATTTGGTACAAAAATAGATCATAGATACATGCATATGTTTTATTTATTTATGAACAATAAATGAATGCTTATGTTTTTGATTACCTGATTATTTGTGTGTTCTAGTAATAAAAGGGTAAACTATGAAATGAAATAGACACCAAATTATACCTGTTTGCTTGTGGGTGCATTTATTAGATAATAGATGTTTAAAAATATGGCAGGGTTTAGTCCACAGCCTTTTATAATATGGTGATAATCTTTTCGAATACGATGTAAATCGTATTTCATTGTAGTGTATTAATGCAGTTTTAAGAACATCACGAAATCACGTAAGATTATTACATAACACAGATATGACGTTAGTCTGTTAAGCCACCGGTAACCCAGCTTATAGGTCAGGTGAAAACACAGGCTTAGCAGGGTGAATATAGAGGGTGGGGTGTAAATTTTTTTCTGGGCTCTGGCCTATAATTTTGTTTAATAAATAATTATGCCGTTCCCTTTCTCCAGATGTATATATAATTAAATGAAATGAAATGGGGTTTAACGTCCTACTGTTCTGATCCGACTGTGCTAATGAAGACGGCAGATTTATATAATTGACAAAATTAAAATTATTCTTGTTATAACATTTATTCGGTCCAATTATTAAAATACTTAAATGTAATGCCCTTTTCCGCTTCTGATTACCTTTAACCACATTTGGTAAAACCAGGTCCGTGTGGGGAACAAAAATGTCTTTTCCCCCTGACGGTACAAACCTTCGCTACGCCCACTGCATGAAAGTGGTTTGCTTCGTTTCGATGAATTATTTACATTGATCAGTTGCATTTATTGTATTATAGAATAGGTATTAGGAAACAAATAAATCTTCGTTCCTTTGGAGCCTTGATAATATTTATTTATCTTGGACTTACGTCAGACTGGGGTATAAACTATGATCAGTGTTTATCCTGTATAGAGGTGTGATTGTATAATAACATCACCTTACAGGTAATATAACTTTTGATAGAACACGAGATTACTGGTATCTGTGTATAAATCAGTGTCGTTGTAAAAGATGCATGGAAAACTGTATAAATTGTAAAGCTGAAATCAAATAAAATTGTTCGGTTGTTTTCGAAAATCTTTATGTGAGGGGGTGATGGTGAGACTTTGAACAAAAACAAATACGATTTGGTTGATTGTCGATTGGTAATAAGGGGAACTACACCACTTCCGGGTTTATCCCCCTGATATTCTGAGCCCCCTAGTATGTACTGGGTTATACTTATAACATTCATTTATATATCATATAAATGAATCCAACCTAAACCATATGGGATTAGAAGGAAGGGGTTTCGTGTGGATTATCGAAATCGCTTACAAGTTGATCCAGTTTTGAGGAGAGTGATTAATGATCATAGATTAACCATTGACGTCACTGATCCGTTATCTACATTGACGTCAGAAATGTCTCTTCAATGAATAATGTTATTATAAACTTGCATAATCTGTTATGATCTTCAAAACTTATGTCTTTATCTTTGAAGTGTAATACTACTATACACAATAAACAATTGGATTAAAATATATTGACCCTACAGTCTGAATCACACATTAAGCCGATATAATATGTTTAATACCATGACATGAAGTAAGAACTGGGGTGTCGATTATTACTTATGTCGAGTGATTTCAAGTCTAGGTAGGGGATTATTGACGGATTTATAATCATATTTCGAGAAGTATATAATATATATATACTATTCAAAAAAAGTAGGGGATATTTGATTTTTAAGTGTTATTAAAGTCACCTAATGAAACTGACGAAGAAACAAATGACAAAATGAAATGAAGTTCACATTCATCGATTTCTTCCAAATGATCGTTAGACTAAGTAAGGCACAGACTGACCATTATAAGGGTAAAATGATACCCGGGGTCAAACAGCAAAGTTACCACAGCATCACAACCAAGTCAGTAACGGGTAAATCCTCCTCTGTTTGCCAAACAAGCATTGATCCGACGTGGCATACTCCTAATGAGACGTCTAAGGTCA